TACTCTTGCAGTAGTGTAGATCGGAATTTATAAATATAATGTGGTTTAAACATTTCAAAATAGCATTAGATGTTTATTTTATTTATTTTTTTTGAAAATAAATGAACTGTTATATTTTAAATTGAAATATGCTTTTTAATATAGGGGTGGGGGTGGGGGGGCGGGGGCGGTGGTGCTTTTGTTCTATGACGCATCATTGGGTAAAACCGGCCGGTATATTCAATAGATCGACTAGTGACTAGATCATGTAGTAACTAGATCATGTAGTAACAAGATCAAGTAGTAACTAGATCGTGTAGTAACTAGATCGTGTAGTAACTAGATCCTGTAGTAACTAGATCATGTAGTAACTAGATCAAGTAGTAGCTAGATCATGTAGTAACTAGATCATTTAGTAACTAGATCATGTAGTAACTAGATCCTGTAGTAACTAGATCCTAAAGTAACTAGATCATGTAGTAACTAGATCATGTAGTAACTAGATCATGTAGTAACTAGATCATGTAGTAACTAGATCATGTAGTAACTAGATCATGTTAGTAACTAGATCATGTAGTAACTAGATCATGTAGTAACTAGATCATGTATTAACTAGATCATGAAGATTAAGTCAGAGCTTTCTAAACACTACAATCTGCATAATAAAAAATCATATCGATGTTTTGCTTGCTAACAGTAAGATACTAAAGATTAATTTTTAATTTTTTTTTTAAATAATAAAAAAAGAAAGAATGAAATAACAAATTAGTATGTTTTACAAATCTAAAATTGCAACTCAACTGAGCCCTAGTGTCAAAATAGCGCTTAATTTAAAAACTGATTCTTTTTTTTTTTTTAATGGCACACAGACATTATATTTAGAAGTACCGGTATATAAATAATGTATGCCCCCCCTACCCGACATGCAAATTATGTCCCATTGTGTCATTTTCTTATCTACATGACATTTAAATTATATCCTCTATATCAATATGGCATAAAAATTATGTCCATTATATCTACATGACATAAACAACTAGTTGACGTTTTTAGATATCAGATTCTGTAGATGGAACTTCTTTTCTTATCTTTTTTCTAAGGGGAATGGGCGGTAGGGGAGGAAACATACTCGAAGATATGTCACGCCATTCAATTCAACTGACTTATGCTTCTTCAAACACTATATGGGTACGCGTACCGCAGGTGGGGTACCGCTAAGCCATACAGTAGCGATCCATGTATCAGCCACGTAGCTGGTAGAAGAATGGGGGTAATATTATTATAACATTTAAACGGGTATTCCCTGACCTAGATATGTGGCGAAATATATCTATTTTTAGTTTGATTTTGGGATATAGGTAAATAGGGTCAAAATGTTTGAAGTCTACGATTTATTTTCACAGCTGACATTTCTCAACCGGTGTTGCCTTCTTTGTATCCATACTATTAAAAAAAAAAAACTTTATACATTATCGTTTTTCAATGGTAAGGTGTTAAGGTGATAACATTGTGGCGTTGTCTTGGTCGATGGTCAGTCAAGGTAATGACATTATGGTGTTGTCTTGATTGATGTTAAGTGTCAGGGTCAGTGCATTGTGGTAATCATCCTGACGTCAGTAATGGAGCTTCTCCTCGATCTTTCTGGTGAGGACAAAGCCGATCTGAGAGGATGTTGTTAGGTCATTCCACTTGCATCAGGTTTCAGTGTGACTGGGAGGGTGCTGAAAGCAGTGCAAACTTAAGGCATCGGCATCGTGGGACGTTGCCCGGGGTTATCACCAGAGGCGTAGTAAGAGTGTTTGGCGCCCGTGACAGGTTTCGCGACCGGGGACAAGATTCAGTTTAAAAGCGCCACCCCCCCCCCCATTCTTTTCTTCAACTCTCAAACCCATTATTTTCATCAAAAAACTAATATCAAAGCATATTTTGGCGACCCTAACTAGCTGGCGCCCGGGGACATCTGTTACCCGTTGCCCCACCTTAGCTACGCCTCTGGGCATCTAAAAAAAAAGGGGGGGGTGTGGGGCTTACGTTTTTTTTTCCCAGTCGTCTTAACTAAGTCTTGTCATTGGATAAAATAGGCAAGGACGAGAGAGTGAGGCTGGCGAATTGAGCTGCTCTCCCACACTTTCAACAAAATACAGCTCAGGGCATTGCTGAATCGAAAATCGCCTTAATCACATTCGCGTAAGAAGGACGGACAACAATATATTCTGTCATCAAAACGATGTCCCTCAAATGAATTGATGGACCCCCGATGACGGAGCCTGAATCTATGATTTCTGATTGATCAATTCAATTGGGCGATTCAAATGAGGTGTGATTTTTCCATCCAATGAAAATCACTTTCGTTGTTGGGAGTTTGACCTTCTACCCTCAAGGTTAATCGGACTGAGGTGAACATCCTTATTCAGGCTTTGGCGTGAGTTTTCTGTCTAGACAATGCATTTCCAGCAAGGGNGGGGGGGGGGTGGGGGGGGGGGGGGGGGGGGGGGGGGGGGGGGGGGGGGGGTGAGCGAACTGATGCAGGAATGTGATATCACAAGGGAACTCACTCGTGCTGAGCCACTTCGGGGCAACTTGAGGGGAGGGAAAGGAGTTATTTTACAAGGGTTTCCAAGGGCGGGTGTACGATGGAAGAAATTTGACAAAGTCCAGCCTCAGATCGTCACACTGGTGTCTGATTATTTCAAAGTGTTTACACCATCCAAACCCATCTGTACCATCTGTACCATCTGTACCATCTGTACCATCTGTACCATCTGTACCATCTCATCATTCTTTTTTTCTTTTACATTTTCCTTTCCATGATTAAAAATTGTATCATCTTTCCTCCCTCAACCTCACACAAATCATCTTTTGTGTCAGAAACGTAAATCCCTCACGGCTGGAGTCTGGAGTGCATTGGAGCAACGGGCACAATGCCCCGGGGCCGGTGAGATTTGCGCCACCTGGCTTTGAAACTAAGGTGTACTGCTTGTGTCCGCTTCTGGCATTGATGTTTGGGTTGCCTGGGAAAATTGTATTTTTAAATATTTTTTTTATATCTGATTCGTTTCAACTACGTCATTTAGCTTTAATAATGTAATAAATGTCAAAAAATAAAACAAAATCTTCTAAATTTTATCAAATGTATCTTCTCTTATTTGATTATTTCGCTACTCATTAAAACAAAAATTCTTTTAAAGTTGTACTGGTGAAAAAAAAGGAGAGAAAACCCTTGAACTTGAACCAGAGCGTTAGTCTATGAATTTTAAAAAAATGTTTAAGAAACAAAAAAAATATTGTTTTCAATAGTAACTAATGCTTGTGTTTGAGGGTAAATTATTGGTTCTCTAAACACTATTAAAATTGTTGGTTATAACTTGGATTTTAAAAGAAAAATAGTTTATGAAATATTGTAACATATGCAAAGTCAATGGCTTTCTTAAATGCTTAATTTTTAAACTCAAGATTTTGTTTCCAACTAATAAAAATCATGTTAGACATCCCTTATTTAAAAGTGCTATCAATTTTTTTTTTTAACTCATTCCAAATCTAAAGCTTTATTTGATTAGAAGGTGGATCAATCCACAAGAGGGCTGGACGCAAACATCCACAAAAAAACAACAACATATGTGTGACAAGATCGGGACCTACATAGGAAACAATTTATATTTGAAACCACTGTTTGTTTTGGTAAACATAGAAGGAGAAAAGGTCTGACCTTTATGTTGAAGCTGACCGTAAACAACAAGTCAAAGGTCAACCACGCTTTCAACTGACCATACTGACGTTCTTGTCAGTATACACTTTTTTTTCCCTGCAAAAATATCAGTAATAAACGTCACAAAATTGGTGGGTTCCAATTGGGCTAGAACAATCGTTGCATCTGTCAATCCTTGGGTATGTATGAAAAGGGGGGAGGGTTTAAAGGGAGGCCCCCGGGGTGGAACTTTTTTTATAAAATGAGGGGCGGCATTTTAACCGAACTGCAGTGGGGTTAACTAGAGAAGTGTTTGGGGTATCGTCTCGGCTGCCACATCAACAGCAACAGCTGGTGGAGACTTGCATTCTTGGGCTGTGCGTTAAATAAAAAAAAAAATTTTTTTTAAAAATCATGAGCTTGTCCAACTTTGGACGCCAGGGGGCCATAGTTTCGATCTTTATTCTTTATTAAATTTTACAATCTGACATTTTAAGTGAGAAAATAGATTTTTTAAAAATGGTCCCAGTAGTTACTTGGTATGTTTTGTTATGTGCAGTAAGAATAGAATATAATTCTGCGTAAAGATTACACCATTTCTTAGGTGCAATGATTTCATGTGCAATGATTTCATGTGCAATGATTTCATGTGCAATGACATGTGGCCTGAAAACAAAGTATATTCTCCAACAAAATTTCTGTGATAACATTTACATTGACCGGGCTTAAAATATTTTCTCCACCTCGTATTCCACCAGACCTTGCTGCCTTCACGTGTTTGGTTGGGGGGGGGGGGCACACGTCATGTTTTCTTTTTTACTTTTGAAACCGTTTTCTGTGTGCCTGCTACAATTTTCTCGGAGTTATAAGCGCTGCGTGTAGCTGTGTGATTTGGTAGTTAATACAAACAAGCCTTGTTGTTGTCAGAATTATTATTGTTTTTTTAAAATAAAAGCCATCCTTTCCGGTGATGTCTTTACTCTGTGAGAAGGTCGACTAATGAGCTTGCTCGGGAATGTTCCACGCCAGGAGACATCTTCGGCGGTACCAAATATGCCTCTAAATAGCTAAGATTATGTGGATATAGACTATATATATCTTTTATACGTAGTGTTATTGGGATAGTGTGATAGTTGAATTGCAAAGTGGTTAACATGTATCTTATGCTTCAGTCACATGGTTTACAAGTAAGACAGGAGACAAAAGAGATCTTCGTAAGATATTTTATTTAAAAAATGTTTAAAAACCTTACAAAAAATCTTATTCAAATTAAACTCCATGGTGCGGAGAAATAATTGAGCAATAATTAAAAAGATGAAATGTATTTTATGTTCTACGAGAAACGAAATAATTCTTCATTTCTTTCACTTTTTTTAATTTTATTTTCTTCCTGTCCTTTCTTCCAAACTTTCATTTCTTTACGATTCTTTCTTTGTCTTTCTTTTCTTTTTTTTTCTTTTATTCCTTCTCTCTTCCTTTTTTCTCTCATTCTTTATTTTTCTTTTCGTTTTTTAAAAAAAAAAATTCTATCTTAATTTCATTATTTTATCTAGTTGGTCTATTTAAATTTCACACAAAAAATATTTAATTTATTCATTTAAATTTTCATCACCAACGACAAACACCATTCATTGCAAACTATTCCCTTTCTTACACACACCAACAAAGTAAGCATAGACGTAGCTATAATCCCAAAATAAAATTACGATGAAAATTTAACTCCACTTGATGGTCTGTTCAAAATCTCCCTGGAACTCGCATGTCCCAACCACATCCCACGTGACATATTGCGGTGCCTTGTCTTCACCTCTCACAATCTCTAGGGCATTCACGTCTTTTCCCACCGCTTGCTGATTTACCGGTGGCCAGAGCTTCACGTCGTTGACAATGTCTGCGATGCCGAATTCCTCAACCGCGACGTTGTCGTGTGGAATTAGGACTTTTCCACCAAGCTTGACTTTACAGGAAAAACGACCTTTGGAAGAACGACATTTATAGTTTTCGTCAAGTATTTTTTGAGTAAATGCATGTAATTTGGAACTTTAAAAAAAAAATTACTCGAAAAAAATTGGACACTGTCATTATGATCTACTTATTTATTCACCTAATTTCTTAGAATGTCGTTGATGTATTTGGTTTGGAAGAGTTTCTCCTGACAGCGCGTAATAATGAGCATGTAGAAAGTTTTTAGCAAGTGCTTTGTCTATATTAAACTAAAAACGCATTAAAACATTTGCATTTTGGCCACTTGACCCAATCATGCAGTGAAACATTTTGTATTTTAGCCACTTGACCCAATGATGCAGTAAAACATTTTGTATTTTAGCCACTTGACCCAATGATGCAGTAAAACATTTTGTATTTTAGCCACTTACCCAATCATGCAGTAAAACATTTTGTATTTTAGCCACTTACCCAATCATGCCGTAAAACATTTATTATTTTAGCCACTTGATCCAATCATGCCGTAAAACATTTTGTATTTTAGCCACTTGACCCAATTATGCAGTAAAACATTTGCATTTTGGCCACTTTACCCAATCATGTAGTAAAACATTTAGTATTTTAGCCACTTGACCTAATTATGCAGTAAAACATCTAGTATTTAGCCACTTGACCCAATTATGCAAAAAAACATTTAGTATTTTAGCCACTTGACCCAATTATGCAGTAAAACATTTAGTGTTTAGCCACTTGACCCAATTATGCAAAAAAACATTTAGTATTTTAGCCACTTGACCCAATTATGCAATAAAACATTTAGTATTTTGGCCACTTGAGCTAACCATGCAATGAAAGAAATAAAATTTAAGAACCCCGACCTACCAATGTAATGAGTTTCTTTGTCTGAGACTGTGGCGACGGCTGGATTGCTGCTGTCCATTCTGTGAGCGCTGCCCAACTTAATCATCATCTTGTTCTCTCTCTCGTGGGTGGATTTTCCAGGCTGTATCTCCACGTATTTCCCCAAGGGTTGTTTCATATTTGATGTTGGTACTTTCAGTGGTTTGTTCAGACCTGAAGCAGAGACATCATTTTACCGTGAAATGATGTTAAGATATGATACATGATTTGACATGTAATGGTAAATTTGACATTGTGGAAATTCGGCACTAAACAAGGGGCATAATTGATACAAAAAATATAAATATTGCACACTTTTAAATAACCAGACATTAAAATCTGCCTTATTTCGGCTAATTAACAGTTGTCTGTCGTATGGGAAATGGATTTCATAAGATTCACGTGCTCGTTGTCTTAACAACATACATCCATTGTCTATGTCATGTATCTCCATTTCTTCTAACTGCATTTATCTATGCACGCTGTTGATTCAACTATTGGCTACAACTCACCTGGTGCTAAGCCCTGGTGAATTGTCACCTTGGTCTTGCACACTGACTCCCTGGTTGTCTCCACATCGCTGTAGAGTTCTCTCTGGCTTGGTGTGTACATCACGTTTAACTGGGGACAACATAAATTAATATTAAATGTGCTGTCTGGCAATAAATTAATGTTAACTATGCTGTCGGGCTGCCTCCGTCATATTTATATGGAAGTGCATGCAATCTGTGACGATTGCAATAATAATTTTAAAAAAAAATGATACTCTAATAAACAAGGGCGCTATGAAAGTATATAACCCCAGAATGTATGGTGCCCGCGGGCGCTATGAAAGAATGTAACCCCAGAATATATGGTGCCCGCGGCGCTATGAAAGAATGTAACCCCAGAATATATGGTGCCCGCGGCGCTATGAAAGAATGTAACCCCAGAATATATGGTGCCCGCGGGCGCTATGAAAGAATGTAACCCCAGAATATATGGTGCCCGCGGCGCTATGAAAGAATGTAACCCCAGAATATATGGTGCTTGCGGCGCTATGAAAGAATGTAACCCCAGAATGTATGGTGCCCGCGGGCGCTATATGTTAGATACGGTCTTGTCAAAAAATAAATAAATATGTTTTTTTTATATAAAGCATGTTAAGTTAAACAAATACAATAAAGAAAGAGAAAATGTGTCTTAAAAAAGTATTTATAATTAAATTCAGTTATTGTATCAAGTACATCGAAAATGACATTGAGAAGAAAAAAGATACGAAATAGTCATTTTCTTACAATGAAAAAGACGAATGAGTGACAGCCCCTAGATTAATGCTAAAAACTGACCTGTCTGGACGTAGCTTCTTGGGATGTCAGCTGAGTTGTGGATTCGGTCCACGTGACGTCACCTTCAATGGAGAGCTTGAGCAGGTCAAGATTGGGCTCACCTGCGATGTAAAAAATAAAAATAATAATAATAATAATTTGTTAAACTTTGAATGTAAAAGAATCAAAACTTCATATTCGCTTTTCATTAACCCACTCCTGGTGACGTCATGTGTATACTTTTTTAAAAGCAGATTTGTTGGCTCATTTCAAATTCAACTAATTGGACAAGTAGGCAGAATGCTGAGAGTCTCCCATCCAGGGAATTTATTCTAATATTTGAAAGTGTAATCCATAGAAGAAATTGTATGGAGAATCAAAAATTTAGTAAAACATGCAGCTTTTTGAATGAAGCAAAAGCAAATACCTGAAATATTATAGACTTTACAGTACTCCTTGCAAAGTTTTGAAAAGTCCATGGCTGGTAAAATTCTGTAACAAATTAAATAGATTACAGTAATTCAAATTTAAAAAAAAAAAATGGCAAAATAAAGAGAAAAAAAGGGATAAAGTATATAGAAAAATAAATAACTATGCGCATTGAGACCATTATAAATATAAGATGATTTCATAACATGCGGAAAATTTATTCAAGAAAGTTATAATTATCCAAATAGCATAACGGAGTGAAAATATTTTTAAAAAAAAAATGATTCATAAAAGCATCATGACATATTACAATTATCGCATAACATATCACAGGCACCGCTTTACATAGCACGAGCACCACATCACATATCACAATCATCACAGTATCACAGTGCATATTATTACAAGACTCGATAAGCTAATGTGTATGGGCCGCGAATTTCATCGGCGAACTCTGACAATTTTACATTACACCACAAACAATAAATACTCCTCTGGTGACTTAATGAATCAACAAAATAAAAATTACAAACTGCCTTTTTTTTTAAAAATCTAGAAATGACAGCTAACATTAAATATTGTAACAAATACCTCATTGAATTAATTTATTAAACTCTCCAAAAAAAATGTGCAATTGAAAAAAAACAACAAAATAAGCTCTTACCTCTGCAGAAAAATAAACAATTAAAACTCTCTGTATTCAATGAAGAGTTAATCTGATATTTTTGACACTCTTACAGCTGATTGAGCCAATTTATGCTGTATCTCAAAGCTGATTGAAAAATTTCGAAGCTTCTGTCGGCTTTTATAGGAGGCCATCTCAATAAAATGACGAGACATAATTATAAATAGGATCGATTCTTTGGACACGTCATACCGAGAGTAATTCCCCTCCACCCCTAAAGCCACATCAGTTTTCTGTGAGTACATTGAATAATTCCCTATTAAATCTATTGGACACGTTACGTAATGCGAACAGCTGACACAGCGCTCTCGCTTTCGGGAGCCGGTGACTGGCGAAGTATTTACGGAGTTGACGGGAAGTTCCGATAAGCTACGAACCACATACATGGCGTTTCGCCAACTCGTTTCGGTATCAGTGACGTGTTCGTGACCTCCCTTGTCTGCCAATGAAAAAATTAATAATAATACATAGTCCCTTACGGGAAAATCGCTCAACTTTACAATAGTTTATTTTTAGCACATGCATGGCAGGATGAGCCTATATAAGATGGGGTGTTGAATGCTTTTCAATCTTATCACTAAACACAAAATCTTAACCTACGCCATTGCTATTGAAAGGATTATCATTCTTTTGATATATCAATTTACAGGTAAGTTATTTTTTTTCCTGTGATTTCTGGACAATACTAATTATTTGAACAAAATGAAATCGAGTGAACAGATCTTAGTTAATCTCACTTAATCTTCTTAATATTCATACAGATTAAAAAAAAAAAAAAGCAGGGCCATTAATTTGATCAAATTCTCTCAAGGATATTAGATTAGATTACTTTGAATTTAAGTATAAAATAATATGTGTGAGACGTAAGTATTATTTTGATTTTGTAACTTTAATGTAAATCAGGGTTGGGACTTTCGTTGTCTCTGCGTTGCTTAATCCTTGAAATTATTCATCTGTCCCGAAATATTATAAGAATCCATTTTAACTTAAATTTTCGAGAATACTTTGTTTTTTGTTTTTCATTTTATGTTTACTGATGTCATTTTTTATTTATTCTCTCATGATTATAAGTTATGATTAATAAAATTGAGAAGCAGTTGAAGCATTTACTTATTAAAAATTCTGTGTACACAAACATTTTTTTTTTCTTTAAATAATTTAAACCATAATGTAAAGAATGATCTGTACTTGTGTGTGTTTCCGAGTACATGTAGTTAGTTTTACCTTTAAGAGCTATACCAGTCCGTCTAAGTTAATTGAGTTAGTTATTAAGAAAATTATTTAGTCTTCAAAATGAAATTTAAATAAAACAAATATTGAATTTAGCTCAGCTCTTTTATTTAGACTGATGCTTTAATTTAAATCTTGACAGACACAGACACAGAGTTCCGAGAATGGCGACACAGTCTGCTATGCTGATCAATTTGCCGAAGCTCGTGGTAGACAGGTTTAGTGGGGAGAGAGGACACGCATGGATGAATGGTGAGTTATCATTTAAATGTTGGAAGTATACGTATATAAAACATATTAAACGTTGTTTGTTGCTTTAAATGTCATTTTAAAAAAAAAGATTTAGACACTAAGCATGTTGCCACAAGGGGCAGAGGTTAAGCCGAGGTCAAACATTCCAGGGTTCACGTGACGGTATGCACGTGTATGTGTGCGTTCATGCATGTGTGTGCTGATGTGGTGTATTGTACTATGCAATTCTGTCTGATGGTGTGTTCTCGTGTTATGGTCTAGTTATGTGATGGTGTCTTTATGTGATGGTGTCTTCATGTGTTGGTGTCTTCATGTGGTGGTGTCTTCATGTGGTGGTGTCTTCATGTGGTGGTGTCTTCATGGGGTGGTGTCTTCATGTGATGGTGTCTTCATGTGGTGTCTTCATGTGTTCGTGTCTTCATGTGGTGGTGTCTTCATGTGGTGGTGTCTTCATGGGGTGGTGTCTTCATGTGATGGTGTCTTCATGTGGTGTCTTCATGTGTTGGTGTCTTCATGTGGTGGTGCGTTCATGAGATGTTGTTTTTTTTGTGTGTGTTCATTTGATGCGTGTCTTCGTGTGATCTGTTTATTTGTGATAGTGTCTTCATGGTATTGTGTTCATGTGATGTGTTGTTCCTGTGTTTATGTGCGAAATATCCTCTTCACAAATCACCCGTATATGAGATTTTTTATGTCAACATTGCAGGAGATCTAAGTGCGCTCAACCAGTCTGTTGACGTCACATGGACTGAGATTTCACCAATCACAACGTTAGCCAATGGAGCTACTAGGAGGGTATGTCAACAAATTATATTATGACTTTCAGACATTTCCTGTACGGGGAAACTTAATTTAAGAATGAACAGAAGGTTAAAATTTAAAGTTAAAAATGATGTAACATAACATAACATAACATACCATAACAGAACAGAACATAACATAACAAGAATAACATAACAACATAACATAACAACTTGTAGTTTATTCATTCCAGTGATGTTCCAGTCATTTTATTGTTGAAACTTATTTGATCTAGTTTCACTTGTATAAACTTATGTGAAACATTTCAATGGTTTAAATAATTTAGAACCACTCATAGATTTTTTTTTTTTGGTTCAAATATCGACTCATCTTACAGGTGGAGCTAAAATATGCAGACCACCAACAGGAGATCTATAGTGAGCTCGGCTTAGTTCAGAATGTAAATAAAGCACAACTTGTTACACTGGGAGATGTTGTCATGACAGGTAGGTCCAGTACGCACTGGCCGTGTCTCACTAAAGTCTTTATCTTTAAACAGTTGGTTTCCTTTCTTGGAACTTTTGACACAACTAGACAAATATATTTTTAAAATGCATGATATCCACGTAGATTCCTTCATGTCATTCTTGAGTATGTTGTTTTCAAGACAGGTCGGTAGATAAACTTTGGGTGCTGCCATGATGGGGGGAAAGTAACATTTGGACTGGGTTATTCTTTAAAATACCAAAAGGAAGAGGTGAAATTAATTTTAATGAAGTCAAAATTTCAATATTTCATTTTAAAAGGCTTGCCTCAGCCAATCAGATTGCCGCTTTCGGAGCTACCAACGGAAGTACGCAATATGTTTGGAGACGAGCTAATCATCCAAGACGAAGTCACGTGGGAGACTGAATCAGAGCAGGAGGCACTCGAACTGAACAGCGAGCCTCAAAATAATGGACGAGCCAGAGGGGGCAGTCGTGTTGCCGTGGTGACGACTACAGAATCGACATGTACATGTGGGTATTGATCTGTGCAGCGGTTCTCAATTTATATTAATGTCAATTTAACTATACTTTAAATCTATGTACTAAATCAAATTTTACACATAAATATTTGAAAATATTGCCAGCTACCCTTAAGAAAACCGTCCAAGAAAACAATTGTTAGTAAAAATATATATATCAGATGAATGATCAGTGGGGCTCCACCGATTAATCGGCATATAATCTGCAATCGGCCTAATATGCCGATTTTTCGATTAATCGGTAATCGGCTTATCGGGACTGATGAATCGGTTAATTGGTTTACTGGAAAATCAAGATTTGAGAAGTCCGTCTTGATCCTTTCTATCCAATAAGACGTTTAAAATCTGTGCCAAAATGTGTCTAAATTAGGTGTGTCTGAGACTCTGAAAATGGCTTTACCCCCCCCCCCCTCCCGCTCCCACCCACCAACCCAATGCACGTGACTTGATAGACCAAAAATGAAAATTAGGGGTGCCGGAGGCCCTGAAAATGGCTTTCCCCCCCCCCCCCTCCCGCTCCCACCCACCAACCCAATGCACGTGACTTGATAGACCAAAAATGAACTTTCGTAGTGTTCCTTACCTGTCAAGACTTGAGAAGGGTCATATGACGTGATATCACGAGACGTGACGCAAAACACAGCTAATATCATGGCTACTAATGTGATTGTTACTAATATCATGGTTCCTAATCTCAAGGCAACTAATTTAACGGCTACTAATCTCATGGCTGCAAATTTAATGGCTACTAATGACATGGCTCTACTAATGTAATAGGTACTTAATTCTGATCACTAATGTCACCTTATGACAGCCAGTAACAGCCCCCCTCCCCCCCTCTTGCTGCTCGGCTTCATAAGCTATGGCATATGACCCTTGAATGGCGCCAAGCCTTTCGTTCAAGCGATGATGCTTCTCAAAGTAAAGGCATAGTTCTCGTTACAGCTTTGGACGCTAAGGGCCTGCTTATCACGACAGCCACAGGAAGCATATTGCTCGCTTAAGGTCAAGGTTTCACTGACCTGGGTGACATAAGAAACGCTTATTTCTATGTCTTTCAAAGCTAAATATACAATAGAGTAATCGATCGGTGTTCGGATAGTATTCTATAAGTATCTATTAGATTTCAAACACATTTTCAAAGATATCGAAAAACTAACTTGTCTTTCTTTATTCAAAAATCCTTCGCAACAGTGTCACAAAACTAAAAAAAATCCTTGTGAAATTGAAAGATGAAACCTAACCTAACAAGCCATTATAACTTTGGATTTATTATTTTCAGGTCGGTTTGAATGCCAAGTCAAACTTAAAAACGCAGTTCCTTTTCAGCCGAGTCAAAATATTGTAGATCAACGCTGCATCGCAGACATAGCAGACATCATAGACATCCTAGAGGACCTGAAATGTACCTTCCCGGAGGAGCTTGAAAAGTTGCACGTCTTTAGGAAGGCGGACACGCCCAGACAGAGATCCCGCCATTCAGCGGTCACCTGGACACTGACTGGGGAATGTGAGTTCAGGTGGGATTCTCAACCTGATGTTCAATGGACCTGAATGACACCGTCCCTGTTTCAGATATTTGTTTCTGATGGTTACTTATTTTGAATCAAACACAGTGGACACATCATTTGTAGAGGGGGAAAAAAAAGTAAATCGAACAAATTTTAATTAAAATAACATCCCACATGTGTTCGATGATGTTCATTGTAAAGATTTTTTTTAAAAAATGAATTACAAATTAAACTATTAAAATAGGATTGAAAGAATGTAGTTCTAGCTTAAGAACACAAATGTTCCATTTAGATTTCTTTCATTTTCAACATTGTTAGTTTATTCTTCTCAATTTGTGATGCGCAACATTACTGTGCAATTTTCAGCGTGAATTATCCCCCATGCTTGTGAAATCATGAAGGCATATCTAGCTTTAGAATATTAGATTCAAAGTCAATATTACGCCATTCGAGTGCGACTTTCAATTGAAACTCAGGTGCGTTCAATGTAGAGCGTATCAAACTACTATGTGTCCTAACAAGTTGAGGAAAAAAAAAACTCAATTGTGATTTAAACGAAAAAATAGGCTAGGAACAGTTCGTTACTATTATTTATTATTATCAATAATAATAGAAACTAAACCCGTCAAGATTGGGTTTGCATAAGGCAAAAAAAAAAATATTCAAGCTGGGGCCCGTTAAATATTTTAAATATAAATTTAATTTTTGTAAAAATGTCTCATTGAAAAAAAACCGGTATTGACCAATGCCCAAGATGTTTCAAATAATATATGCAAGCGACGCTTGATCAAAACTCCATTGGTCAATGTAGAAACGTATTCGGTACAAACAAACATACAGACCGATTGAGATGTTCACCTGCATATAGTACATACATAGTATACAAGAAATGTACAGGTGTGAAAAATTGAAATCTAATTGAGCGATTTAAAAAAAAAGTATTATTGTTTAAAAATCAACATTTACATACTATAACTCTTTATGAATTTTTATTGTTTACGTTCTTTTACCACTTTTTCACCCTAACACTACATTTAACTAAATGCTGTTTGGGGCTAAATATCAACTTTATGATTACCCTTCATTAACACACATATTTTATCAAGTTGGCAATAAAAATTTATGAAAGAACCCCCAAGACGGTAAACCCTTAGGTTCAACCATGCACTACTCATGCACGCCATTAAACTATGTTACAGCTGCAATCTAGTGTCCAACTGCCCCTCACCCCACCCCCACCCCACAGCCTAATACAAAGTAATGAACTATAGTTCATTAAAACATTAAAATAAGCATCAGCAAGAAGCCACTTGAGGAATTGCTCATCCCCGAAAAAAAAACAATAAGGGACTGGAACACACTTTCAAAAGGAACAGTTGAGGCAACGACCCTTGACACATTTGCGTCCATTGCCTCCAGGCCTTACAAACCCCAGGGCATGATACCCTAACAAAGTAGCAGCCATGCAACCAGTGAAATAGCCTCATCAATACCAGGCACAGAAACACTGCGAACAACCTCTACATAAACAGGAGCCAGAATGATCAATACATTGCCCGTGGTCCCTTAAGATAGAGATGGAGAAGAAAAAGAGGGGAAACAACTACGATACGTATTTAATAGTATATTAAAAGTAAATGATGGCACAAAACAGTGAATGTTTTTTTTTAAAAACTATTTCAATTTGTTTCTTCTTTATGCACAGTTTTCTGAGCATACAGAATAAATCCTAATCAAACATAACAGTGCACCAAACAAACATGCTAGTGCACAAAACAAACATATCCGTGCACCAAACAAACATGCTAGTGCACAAAACAAACATATCCGTGCACCAAACAAACATTTCGTTCCAATTCTATTACAAGTCCATTTAATTATTATTGCAATTAAAATAACACAACTTTAGATTCTGTTAGGCACATTTTCAGTTATTTCTGTTTAATAAAGTTTTAGGGTTAGGTACATATTGTTCCTTGTTTTACCTTTATGATGTGATATTTATAATATGATGTATTTAAAATTTATTTTGAAAAAGTAATAAATGTATGTAGGAAGAATTATAGTAATAACTTGTTATCTTGATAACATTTGAATTTAAGATTACGTTACAAATTAAATTCAAATTTTTTTAAAACATATACTACCGTGTTCTATGTTTTAGCTAAAATATTGTTCTTTTGTTATAATTTACATAGAATTATTTTATGATCGGTGACAGGTGTATATAAAACTTCGTTACGTATATTATTATTATTATTATAAGTGGTTTTATATTTCGCGGTACCCCAGCCTAGTCCTGGGCTCACCCCGCTGTACATACAATTTAACAAACATAATCACGAACTTAAAAAACTTAATTACCATTTATATTAATTAAATGAAACAAAACAAATCTATATTTAAAACTATTTTTATGTCAAGCAATGGATGTCCCCCAGAAGTATCGTTTTTCGGTAACAGGGGGTGGGGGGGGGGGGGGGGGGGGGGGGGGGGGAATCAGTCGGGATAGTAGAGTTTAAAAAGATGTGTTTTCAGTGCAGTTTTGAAGGCTGTGATGGTCGTTATATGCCGGATGTACACTTTGAGCGTTTGAGAGTACACACATATTTTGTTAAAATTAAAAAAAAATACCCCATATATACTGAGTAAACCTAGAAACTTAGCATTAAACTTTAGTTTGTCTGGCTGATTGGCTTCCTAAAGTAACGTAAGAAACAGCGGCACTTTGTGCGCACCTTCGAACAAGGTGAACAACCATCAGCACAGGAACTAGATCTCCGGTGAACTCCCACAACGCGTCATAACATAACGTAAATCACGGCACTAGGGAATTCCCTGACCTAAATACCTGTCATGTAGTGCCTATTTTTAGTATCGATTTGAGAAAATCATTGAAAGAAATTATATATAAGAGCACTTCAATCTTCCAGGAAGTTCTTTGGTATCTTTTTGTATTTGGTGGTGGTGGTGGTGGTAGTCATGGGCGCCCGCAGAAAACTTTCTAGGGGGGGGGGCGGTAAAAAATAGATTAACTTTCCGGGGGGGGGGGGCAGAATTTTTAGTAATGTTTTAATATAGTTTTAATTAACTGTTGCGTATTTGTATGGTGAACGAACGGACAGGACATCAGCTTAGTTACTTTCTCTTTATTTTCTACGAACGGACAGGACATCAGCTTAGTTACTTTCTCTTTATTTTCTCTTTACTTTAATAAATTTTGTTTCTATTTTTGTCTAAATTTTTTTTATCCAATCAATCCAGGTGGGGGCAAGTGCCCCACCTTGCACTTACCTGGGGGCGCCCATGGTGGTAGTGTAATAGATTTCGTGAACTAAAAATAGACATCTCGTTTATCAGAACTCTCTTCGAGCTAGGAACTGTGAATCATTTTATGAAAACTTGTTTGCGCCATCCCGACGCCGAATAACCGACGTCTCGATTCAATCGGAGATTTTCCTTTTGAGACAAATCTGAAAACGAGGTGGACCCTTTCGGGGATCAGCCTATTTGACGTGTTCGTACGCATCATCTGATTTATAATACCGAAACAAATAATAATAAAGTTTACTTGAAAATCACGCTTTATCCCCTAAGGCTTGAAGCGCGGTACACAGTCAACCACATCAAAAGAGATACGAAACAATTTATAACTTTTAACTCAGTTAAATAAAAAACGCAACACTACAAAAACTACATACGATAATACCCATTCAAAGTCTTTCATCCCTTGCAACCATAAACACCACAAGCCAATATACATGTAGGAGACCATGGCTAGCTGGAAAAGATGGTAGACAACATCACCCCAAGCAGGTGATTGCGGAAAAGATGTGTTTTCAAATTGGTTTTGAAGGACTCCGGTGTCTGGCTGTTGATAAGAGCAACAGGTAGGGTGCTCCATGTGGTTGGGCCAGCAAATGCGAAAGTGCCCCTTCCGTAAGTCTCAGGGCGAACACTTGGTATAGCTATATTCGCAATGATCTAATTATTAGACCGTTTCATAAGTGTTTAATTTGAGCTCTGTTATTACTAAGGAAGTTTTTGGCAAAACACGTTACAATAAGGACACTTTTTTTTTAAAACTCTGTGATGTTACTGGCCAATGTGTCTTGTATTCACAATATCAAGAACCCATTCAGTCAGTTCATATGCCATTCAGTTCACACGCTATTCAGTTCACACGTCTTCACACGCCATTCAGTTCACACGTCATTCAGTTCAGACGCCATTTAGTTCACACACCATTCTGTTCACACCCCATTTAGTTCACACCCTATTCAGTTCACACGCCATTCAGTTAACACGCCATTCAGTTCACACGCCATTCAGTTCACATGTCATTCAGTTCACGTACCATTCAGTTCACGTACCATTCAGTTCACACACCATCAGTTCACACCCATTCAGTTCACATGTGATTCAGTTCACTCCCCATTCAGTTCAGACGCCATTTAGTTCACACACCATTCAGTTCACACCCCATTTAGTTCACACCCTACTCAGTTAACACGCCATTCAGTTAACATGCCATTAAGTTACGCCTTTCAGTTCACACGCCATTCAGTTTACGCCATTCAGTTCACAACTCATTTAGTTCACACCCTATTCAGTTCACCCGCCATTCAGTTAATACGCCATTAAGTTACGCCTTTCAGTTTACGCCATTCAGTTCACACCCCATTTAGTTCACACCCTATTCAGTTCACACGCCATTCAGGTAACACGCCATTAAGTTACGCCTTTCAGTTCACATGCCATTCAGTTTTCGCCATTCAGTTCACACCCCATTTAGTTAACACCCTATTCAGTTCACACGCAATTCAGTTCACACGTCATTCAGTTCACACGCCATTCAGTTCACACCCCATTTAGTTCACACCCTATTCAGTTAACACGCCATTCAGTTAACACGCTATTCAGTTCACACCCTATTCAGTTAACACGCCTTTAAGTTACGGCTTTCAGTTAACACACCATTCAGTTAACACGCTATTTAGTTCACACCCTATTCAGTTAACACACCATTCCGTTAACACGCCATTTAGTTCACACCCTATTCAGTTAACACGCCATTCAGTTCACACGCCATTCAGTTAACACGCCTTTAAGTTACGCCTTTCAGTTCGCACGCCATTCAGTTTACGCCATTCAGTTCATACGCCATTGAGTTCACATGACATTGTTAACACGCCATTCAGTTCAAACGCCATTCAGTTCACACCCATTCAGGTCACTCGCCATTCAGTTAACGCACCATTCAGTTCACACGCCATTCAGTTCACACGCCATTCAGTTCACATGCTATTCAGTTCACGCCATTCAGTTCACACGCCTTTTAGTTCACACGCCATACAGATCACACCCCATTCAGTTCAACTTTGTATCAAACACTACATGGGTACGCGTACCACTGAACTAGACAGTAGAGATCCAGGTACCAGCAACGTAGCTGGTAGAAGTGTGGGGCAACAAAGGTTGTAAATGGATTGCACAGAATACTTGTTGTTGTATTAGAGTGGGACAACATAGCTGTAAATTTTTTAGCAACATATCTGTACATTTTAGCAACATAGCCGTACATTTTCGGGCAACATAGCTGTACATTTTTGAGCAACATAGCTGGTAGAAGATTGGGGGTAACATTTTTATAGCATGTATGCGGTCATTTTAAGACTCACATCCTGGCAAAAAATGTCTATTTTTAAGATAACTTTTTGATATAGATAATAAGGGTCGAAATGCTAGAATTCGAAGATTTATTTTGAAGTTATTATCTCACATGTCTCATGCGGAGTCCGTTCTTTGTATTCAAAAAAAATTTTTTTCTTAACTTATCACATTATCGCCTGTGGATGGTAAGTGTAAAGGTAAGGATATTATGGTATTCTTCTAAAGTCATTAATCGATCTTGTCCTCATCTTTCGGGTTAGGATAAAGTCAATCTGGGAGGATGTTGTTAGGTCATTCCCCCCTGCACCATGACTGCGTGTGACTTGGACGGTGTTGAGCACAGTGCAATCTTTTGAGGCATGTCAAGCATGGGGGAGGTGCCTAGCGCCTCACGCTTCAATGGTGGGGGGGGGGCGGGCATTGGGGGAGGGGGGGGGGGGTGAGGTGGGGGGGGGGGGGGGTTGCGCTCACGATTCTTCTCCTAGTCGTCTTGACCAAGTCTTGCTATTGGATCAAACAGGCCAGGAGAGTGAGGCTGACGAATTGAGCAGCTCTCCTTCACTTTAAACCATACATGATTAAGTCAAGGCTAAATCAATAACTGCCCTGGTCATCTTTGCGTGCGAAGGACGAACGACAACATGCTGGCCCCTATGATGGCCCCCTTCGATGGACCCCTATGATGGACACCTATGACGGACACCTGTGATGGACACCTATGATTTACCCTTATGATTGATCCCTTGATGGTCCCCTATGTTGGACCCCTGTTGTTGGACCCCTGTTGATGGACCCCGATGTTTGACGCACTAGCTAATATACAAAATCTAATTATATTAATACAAATAAAAGAAACAAATATTTTTTGACGAAATACAGAACATCGCGCTTTAAAAAAAAATGTAATGATAACCTGTAGGCACTTTGTTTTAGATGTTTTTGTTCTTGAAATCTAGATTACATAGAAGTTGGTTTGTTGGTTTGTTGGTTTGTTGGTTTGTTGTTGTTGTTTTTTTTTCACAAGTTTTTTTTTTAGGTTTTAAAGATTATTCTAGAACTTTTCATAAAGTTCTATATTTTTCCTGTAGATATAAAAGAGGATACAAAAATGCAAATCAGATCTAAAATTGTCTAGAAAGTTTGATTTGTTGGTCTTTAAATGCTTTAAGAATATGTAAATGTCATTTGTACGTTTCTTATATTTTTCCCAGTCTCTATTATTTTTTACAAGTCTCTATTATTTTTATATAAGTCTCTATTACTTTTTTTACAAGTCTCTATTATTTTTATATAAGTCTCTATTACTTTTTCTACAAGTCTCTATTATTTTTTTACAAGTCTCTATTATTTTTCTACAGGTCTCGATTATTTTTTTATTAGTCTCTATTATGTTTCTATAAGTCTCTATTATTTTTCTCAAATTTTGTGAAACTAGATTTGTATATTTATTTTTTTCAAGTTTCTTCAGAGTTCCAAATGAGCGAAGGAAGTTCTACAATTTGTTTTCCGTATACTAGCCTAAGCTATAATATATATATACAAAGGCTTAGGTACAATGCAGGCTTCAACGTGAACTCTCGGATCTAGGCCAAACGTGGTAAACATACCTTTCATATCCCCTTTCAAAATATTGGGGAATTATACATTAACAGTATTCACTGTTTTTTTTTGGGGAGCGGGGCGGCTCGCATCTATTTTAAATAAAGAGCACAATCTTTGCGGTTTTTTCAACCAATTTTTAATGGGACACCTTTCAAAATAAGTCGTGTTCAATATCCAAATGGAAATACAGATCTAAAATACTAAAGCCTAAGTCTTGTTTGGCGCGAAATAAAATATAAATTTAAATGGTGACACCTTTTGAAAATCCCCATCTGACATTTAATGAAAAAACCCAACCATGCAATTTGAGTTCTTCATTTGAATATGTATATAAATTTATTTTATGAAGTGCTTATCTGAGAGAAAAATAAACCAGCCTCTTTTTGAATTGATGCCGGCCGGAAATCCTTATTTTAATGTAATATATAAACGGTTATTGCTCTGACATTGGTCAATACCCTTTGAAAAAAAAAAACACATTTAAAGACAAACTAGATTGATTTTTAAAAAAAAAATTATTGGCTCCAGCTTGAATATTAACTAACAAAGTTTGGGCTGCAAATTAAATGTTTGAAAATACTATTATAATCAAGATTTCTAAAAGAGGAAATGTTTTAATTTAAATGCTGGTACTTTAGCGAAGAGGTTGGGAAAGGGCCCTAGATGTATGAGAACACTGAAAATGCTTTAGATTTCTCCCGTATGCAAACCAAATGAACGCCGGGTATACTGGCTAGTATTCTATATAAGTAACTTGTAAGTAATTGTTTACAGCCTATTCTGACACTGACCCTAACGCCAAACGATGTGTTCCCTGTGTTTGATTCAATGCAACTAACAATAAATTATTTTTTTTTAAATCCTCCAACAGGAACGGTTTCTTTCAGGTCCATTTTACATCAGGCTGAGAACTCCACTTGAACTCACATTCCCCAGTCAGTGTCCAGGTGACCACCGACGAAGGGAGAGATCTGGGCCTGGTGATGTCTGCCCTCGTAGAGGCGTGTAACTGTTCAAGCTCCACCGGAAATTTACTCTTCATGCCATGCACGATGCGTGCGATGTCTGCCCTGTAGTGTTGATCTTCGCCATTTTGAGTCAGCTGAATGAGCACTGTATTTTCAAGCTCGACCGTGCATTCAAAATAATCTGCAAATTGTGCAAAAAAACATGATCCACCAGAATGATACTGTGGTTAACGCAAAAAAAAATAAATAAATAAAAAAATATAAATAGTAGGAACGACATTTAGCATTTGTGAAACTGTAATGCATTGGTCCTCAACCTTCATAATGCCGTGACCCTTTAATACAGTTTATCATGATGTGGCGACCTTCAACCACAAAAATAATTTTATCGTTTTTACTTCATAAACGTAGAGTATACGTGTTTTTTCGATGGTCTTACGCGACCCCCCTGTGAAACGGTCGATTAACCTTTAAAGGGGACACGACCGACAGGCTTGAGAACCTCTGCTTTTAAGGAAAACAAATAACTAATCGATGCGTACGACGATTGTGTTACGTCATATCACGTGAGCTTTTTTTGGTGTCCAACTTGTCACGTGTTAGCCATGACGACGTCACGTGTTAGCCATGACGACGTCACGTGTTAGCCATGACGACGTCCGGTGTAGCAATGACGTCACGTGTTAGCAATGACGTCACGTGTTAGCCATGACGACGTCACGTGTTAGCCATGACGACGTCACGTGTTAGCCATGACGACGTCCCGTTTAGCAATGACGTCACGTGTTAGCAATGACGTCACGTGTTAGCCATGACGACGTCACGTGCTAGCCATGACGACGTCACGTTTTAGCCATGACGACGTCCCGTGGTAGCAATGAAGTCACGTGTTAGCAATGACGTCACGTGTTAGCCAGGACGACGTCACGTGTTAGCGATGAAGAAAAACAACACCAACAGAGGGTACATCGTAAAAAAAACCATTCTCCGAGTTTCGGACACACCTAATTTAGACCCATTTTGATATAATCTCCCACGTCTTATTGACTAGAAATCATGAAGGTTGGCATCTAGCTTCTTGATTTGTTCAGTACAACAATTTAACCGATTCAACGGTCCCAATTAGCCGATTACCGATTTATCGGAAGTGTGGCCTATCAGATTGCAGATTACCTGCCGATAAATCGATGGAACAGCACTGATGATTTATCTAATCAATGTTTTTTATTTTAAAAAAAATGTCGAGTTTTTATTTAGTAATAAGATTATATTATATATAGTTACATCAAAATAAAAGTTTAGGACCAGCTGCATTCATAAATACCTACATTCACATGTCGATTCTGTTGTCGTCACCATGGCAACACGTCTGCCCCCTTTGGCTCGTCCATTAATTTGAGACTTACTGTTAAGCTCGGGTGCCTCGTGCTCTGATTTAGTCTCCCACGTGACTTTGTCTCGGATGATTAGCTCGTCACCAAATATTTCACGGACTTTGGATGGTAGCGCCGAAAGCGGCAATCTGATTGGCTGAGGCAAACCTTTTGAAAAATGATTAAATTGTTCATACATTTGTAGACTATTGAAACATTGACTTCATTTAAAATTAATTTCACCTCTTCCATTTGTTATTTTAACAATAATGACCCAAATCCAAATGTTACTCTCCCATCATGGCAGCACCTACAAAGTTATCTACTAACCTGTCTGGGAAAAAAACATCCTCAAGAATGACATAAAGGAATATACGTGGCTGTCATGAATTTAACACATACAAATATATACATATAAGTTCAATCTATCTTCATTTCAGGAACTCTGTTGTGTCTGTGGAACATATGTCTAGCTGTGACAACATTTCCAAATTTAAACAGAAGATGAGGATGATTTCTGGTATAGTGCTTGTGGCCATGTCATTTTAACATGCTCAAGGCTGCACACCAGGGACAGAATTTTGTGGTCAATGCGCTCACACACAGGAGGCCAGTGGAGATCACTAAGAACTTGGGTGATGTGTTCAGATTTCTTTATCCGCGATAAATGCGTGCTGAATTTGTTTGTATCTTCTGGAGTCTCTGAGGCTAGCTTTGAGGTAAACTAATCTCGATTGGATAAGAGTGACTGTTACGGCATTAGCTGTTCTCTTATTAAGTTGAGGACGCAACTGACACAGGGCGCGGAGCTGACAGAAACAAGCGGACAGAAATGATATGACTGCCAGTGTAGATGCCAGGGTCTCTGACAGTGGTGGACTCGCGGACCTCAGAAACATCATCTTTAATTGATGCGATTGCAACCTTCCGGACATTGGCGTCATGTAACTGCCTCGGTCTTATCGTCATTTCATTTAAGTCTGTTTGATGCCATCCATGATTTCACCACAACACAGCAGTCCTCGGCAGTCTGAGCTGCCGCAGCACAGTCCATAGGAGCAGGGCGGAAAAACGTGCACAGTTGGATTTCATCCGCAAATAATTTGTGGGATATGTCATGCCTCTCAATAATTCTGCCAAGCTGGCTAATGTACATGGAGAACAGAATAGGTCCTAAAACGCCAGAGGTAAAGGAGGTGTCCTTGGAAGATGCATGATTCACTTCCATACGCTAAAACCAGTCGGCCAGATTAAGGAGTAAACCTGCAAACCAGTTAAATGAAACCAAAGTGTTGAAAGATTTTTTAAAAAAAGACGTTAGTAGGACACTGACAGTATGTAATGGACCCACCTGTCACCATTACACCTCCCAGTGAGACTCTTTGTACTTTCTTGACATTCTGAACTAAACCCAGCACACTATAGATCTCCTGCTGGTGACCTGCATACTTTAGCTCCACCTGTAAGATGCGGCGTCAGTTGAACAAAAAGCTATTTATAGCTCTTAATTTTTTTTTTTTTAAAGCATTCAAATGTTTCAAATAAGTTCTTACAAGTAAAATAAGATAGAATACATTTCAATAATAAATGATAGGAATGTTTAATGAAAGGAATAAATGAAGAAATCCAATTTATTATTTTAAATTTAACTCTTTTGAATGTAAATTCAATTTTAGTACTCTGTTCATTCTTCTTATAAATTTCCGACGTATAGGAAATATCTGTAATTCATAAAACACAATTTGTTGACCTACCTTCCTAGTAATTCCATTGGCTGATTGTGTGACGGGAGACATCTCATACCATTTGACGTCAACTGAATGTTTCAGAGCCTCGAGATCCACTGCAATGGAAGAATGTTAGACACGGATATCGTTTTAATTCATCTCGTAAACCTTAAATTCTGGTGATTTGTAATGAGGACAGGTCGCACTTTTGATATCATATGAACACACCATCACAAGAACTCGCCATCACATGAACACACCATCAAATAAACACATCATCACAAGAGCACACCATAACATGAACACACCATAACATTAACACAGCATCCCATGAACACACCGTAACATGAACACACCATCACATGAACACACCGTCACATGAACTCACCATCACAAGGACACCACATCACGTGAAATTTTATGAACACAAACGTCACATAAACATTTAAAAAAAACACAATGACATGAATACACCATAAAATGAATAGACCATTACATGAAAGCTACATCACACGAAAACACTATCATATAAACACACATCGCATGAATACACCTTCACATGACTTGACCATAACACGAGAACACACAATCGTATAAAATATCATTACAAAAAACACCACATCAATACACCGCCACAGGAACCCTGGGATGTTCGACCTCGGCTTGGCCTCTTGACCATTATGGCAACATGCTTATTTAGGGTTAGGGTCAAAATTGTTTTCGAAATTCAATTTAAAACCAAAAACAATTTTAATATGTTTTATATACGTATATGTTAAACATTTAATTGTCTACGTACCATTCATCGTCGAGTTTCCATTGTGCCCGTTAAAATAATCTATGATGAGCTTCGGCAAATTGATGAGCTTAGCAGACTCTGACGTCATTCTTGGATCTCTGTATGTGCGAGTGTCAAAACTTAAATTAAATATTTTTTTTTGTTCAAATTTTATGTTGAAGACTAATTTCTTTTCGTAATAGCTAACTCAAATGACGTAGACGGTCTGGTGTGGTTCTTAAAGGTAAAACCAACTCGAAGTCACCCAAGCCTAGATCCTGATCTACATTATGGTTTAATCTATTTCAAAGACATGTTTTATGTACACCAGATTTATAATAAGTGAAAGCCTCATATGCATCTCAATTTTTGTAATCATATCTTATAACCATGGAGAGAATTAATCGGCTATGACATCAGTAAACCCTAAGGAAAAAATACACTCTCTCGAAACTTTAATATAAAATAAATGAGTAGATTGTGATGATAATTATAATATTTAAGGACAGATTTAAGAATAATTTTAAGCATAAACCAATGGGGAGACAACGATAGTCCCAACCCTGATTTACATTAAAGTAGAAAATTTTAAATTATACTTACGTCACACACATTATTTTATCAACAAATTCTAAGTAATCGAATCTAATATCCTTGAGAAAATGTTATTGAATTCACGGCCTTGCTTTTTTTTTTTTAAAATCTGTATGCATATTAAGACGATTTACTAAGACCTGTCTACTCGATTTCATTTTGTTCAAATATTTACTTTGGTCCAGAAATCACAGAAAAAAAATAACGCACCTGCAAATTGATATTTCAAACGAATTGTAATACTTTGAAATAGAAGTTGCGTAGGTTAAGATTTTACGTTCAGTGTCAAAGCAAGAAATGCATTCATTTTTTTCTACAACACGTCATCTTATATAGGCTCATCCTGTCACGAATGTGCTAAAAATAAACTATTTTAAAATGAAAGATTTCCCCGTAAGGATATTTGAATTATTACTCATTTATTTTTTTTTCATTGGCAGACAAAGGGTGGTCACGGACACGTCATTGATACCGAAACGAGTTGGCCAAACGCCTTGTACGTGGTTCGTAGCTTATCGGAACTTCCCGTCAACTCCGTACATGCTTCGCCTGTCACGGGTGACTGCAACCGAGGGCTCTGTGTTGGATATATAAGTATCCGTAACTTTTCGAACATATTAAATAGGGAATTATCAAATTTACAACAAAAAAAAATTAAATTAATTTTTTTTTTTTTTTTAAATGTGTATTTCCAGGTGGAGGGGAATTATAACTGTTGGTATGACGTGTAAGCCTGACGTGTCCGAAACGTCGAGCCTATTTATAGCTTGGTCAGGGGATTCTATTGAGATGGCCTCCAATAAAAGGCGACTCAAGCTTCGAAATTTTTCAATCAGCTTTGATGTCTTAGGCTTAATATAGCATAAATTCGCTCAAAGCTAACAAAGTGTCAAATATATATATATATATATATATATATATACATATATCAGATTACCTCTTCATTCAGTCTTGCGAGATTTTCTTGTGTATATTACTGCAGAAGTAAGAACTTGTCTTTTATTGATTTATTTCGTTTTCGAGAGATTAATTAATTAAATAATTAATTTAATGAGCTATTTAAGTCAAGATTACAGGATGGTTAAAATTCTTTGATTTACTAAGGCAGGCGTAGTTATTTTATTGATTCATTAAGTCACCAGACCAGTTATTTGTAGTATACTTCAAAATTGTCTGACATGTCATGTGGTGCTCGTGATATGTCATGTGGTGCTCGTGATATGTCATGTGGGGTTCGGGATATGTCATGTGGTGCTCGGGATATGCCATGTGGTGCTCGGGAAACGTCATGTGGTGCTACGGATCTGTCAAGTGGTTCTCGGGATGTGTCAAGTGGTGCCAGTGATTATGTTATGTGATACTTGTAATACCTCATGGGGGCTTTTGTGAATCTTTTGAAAAAAAATATTTTCACTCAGTTATGATAATTGATTAATCATGAATTCCTTGCATATAATCCCCTGAGTTGTGATCTTGGTTTAGATTTACAAGTTTCTTATTGAGCATATCTATTTATTTTTCAAACCTTAGCAATTGTTCATCTTTGGTCGACAGTTTGCTAATTTGCATTACTGTAATCCATTTACTTTTGTACCAGCCATGGACTTTTCAAGACTTTGCAAGGATTACTTTAACATGCAAGGTATTTATAGTTTTTTTGTGATTAAAAATCCGAATGTTATATTAATAAGTGTAAATTATTCAAACAATCGTTCTTTAAATACCAAAATTAAATATTGTAATAAATTCACTTAAACGGGGCTAAATAGAATGTTTGCTAATTGGTCAGTCAGTACCAAGTTGAATTTGAAATGACCAATCCAATCTCCTTTCAAAATGTAATCACGACGTCACCTGTGCGGATTAATGAAAAAAAATTCTACTCTTTTCATTAAATGTTTAAAGAAATTTTTTTTTTTTTTTTTTTTTTTTTTTTTTTTTTGCAGCTGAGCCCAATCTTGACCGGCTCAAACTGTCCATTGATGGTGACGTCACCTGGACCAACGAAACACCTCAGGCGGCATCCCAAGAAGCTACGTCGAGACAGGTCAGTTATTTTTATTGGACGTTGGGGCATTCACCCATTCGCCTTCTTCATTGTAAGAAAATTGATATTTCATGATTTTTCATTCAATTTTATCTTGATACGTTTAATAAATAATCCTTATTTAATTATTTATTATTTTTTTAAACCAATTTTTTGTTAAATTTCTTTATTTGTATCTGTTTATTTTATATTATTTTTATTTTAACATGTTTAATAATAAATAATAAAGCTATTTTAGTTATTTCTTTTTCGACAATGCCGCATCTAACATAGGCGCCCGCGGGCACCCTACCACCGCCAGTTACCTACTTTCATATGACTCTTTTTTTAACTTATTTAAAATTTCCTTTAATTTTTTTTTAATGTATACATTTGCAATCTTCACAAATTTCCTTACAATTCTATAGAAGTAAGTCGGAGACAGCCAGACAGTACAGTTAACATTTAATTTTTTTGCCAGACGGCACATTTAACACTTATGTATCTTTTATCCAGTTAAACGTAAAGTACACATCAAAACAGAGAGAACTCTACAGCGATGTGGAGACAACCAGGGAGTCCGTCTGCAAGACCAAGGTGACAATTCTCCGGGGCGTGGCGCCAGGTGAGTTGTAGCCAAAACTTGAATCAACAGAATGCATAGATGGCTGCAGCTAGAAGAAATGGAGATACATTAAATTGAGAGTCATATAAGCTAGATGTACGTTGTTAAGACAAAAAGCATTCCAAGATTATGAACATCCTATTCCTAAGATTACTGGTTATAGGGCAAGCTTTTATGCCTGGCTATTTAAAATTCTGCTTTCATTTCATTTTTGTATCAATTACGTTCCCTGTTTAGTTTTTAAACTTCCGCTATGTCAAATGTACCGTTACAAATCAAATCGTATATCAAACCTAAACATTATTTCACGATCGACTGATATCTCCGTTTCAGGTCTGAACAAACCACTGAAAGTTCCAACATCGAATCTGCCACCTTCCTTGGGGAAATACGTGGAGATACAACCAGGAAAATCAATCCACGAGAGAGAAGACAAGATGACCGTTAGGTTGGGCAGCGCTCACAGAATGGACAGAAGCCATCCGGCCCTTGCAACTGTCACGAGCAAAGAAACTTATTTCATTGGTAGGTCGAGTTCTTCAATGCATGTGTTTTAATCAATAAATAGGTCAAGTTGTTAAAATACGAATTTTTTTAATGTATCAGTAGGTCAAGTGACTAAGTTACCAAAGTTTTAACTTCATGAGTAGGTCAAGTGGGTAAATTACAAATGTTTTACTACATGAGTAGGTCGATTTCTGATAAATGTATGTGTTTCAATGCATAATTAGTTCAAGTGGTTAAAATACAAATGTCTTAATGCGTTTTTTAATTGAATATAGACAAAACACTTTTTAAAAATGTCTACATGCCAATTAATCTAATCGGTCACTCGAAACATTTCCAAACCAAATATGCCAATGACGTTTTAAGACAGTATGATAATAGATAAGTAGATGATAATTACAGTGCCCATTTTTAAGTGCTATTTTTTTCTGACTGCTGCATTAATCGTTTGATTAGATTAATTCAGTCTAAGAGATTTGACTAAGAGAAATGTCGTTCTTCCTAAGGTCGTTTTTCCTGTCGAGTCAAACTTGGTGGGAAAGTCTTAGTTCCACGCCAAGACGGCGGAGTTGAGGAATTCGGAATCGCAGACATTGTCAAAGACGTCCGGACTAGGTCAGTGGAGGAGGATGTCAAGGCCCTCCAGATCCTGAATGGTGCTGATGGTGCCGCTGAATATGTCAGGTGGACCGTGGTTGGGACATGCGAGTTCCAAGGTGATTTTGAACAGTCCATCGAGTGGAAATAACTCTTTGCGATTTTATTTGTATTAATATAACTACATGTATGTTTACATTTTGGTGATTGTAATAAATGGAGAGAAAGAAAAAAAAAACGTTAAATGAATTGTTATAATATCCCCCAGTCATTGTCAAAGAAATTTTAAAATAATCAATTAATTATTTTGTGTGTTCAATTAAAATAGACAATCTTAGATAAAACAAGGGAAGAAAGAAGGAAACAAACAAACAAACAAACAAAGGGGGGGGGGGACAAAGGAAAAACAAAGAAAGAGGTAAACAAAATAAAAGTAAGAAAGAAAGAAATAAGAAATAAAACAAATAATTTTTTTTTTAAAAATGGATAAAGAAATGAAAGAAAGGAAGAAAGATTTCATGTCTAGTATAAAACAACAAAATACATTTCATCTTTTCAATTATTGCTCAATTATTTCTTACTAACAGACAGTCTCAATTTGAATAAGATGTTCGCTAAGATTTGTTATATTTTTTTAGAAATAACATATCTTATGCAGATCTCTTTTGTCTCCTGTCTAACTTGTTACCATGCTACTGAACCTTAAAACACCTTATATTTAATGTATTTTGTAAGTATCTCAGTAACAGAGCCATAGCTACTTAACCCTCTGGAGACGGAGCCTTTTCGGGGTCTATGGGCCAAAAAGACGGAGCACTTTTTACGAGCTCGGCACTCGCATTGCAAAAAAATTTATAAAAAATAAACTATTGCCTTAATATATGTAAAACTATATATATTCTTGTATGAAATTAAATGAACTAAAACAATCTTTATGAATCAAACTGAAATATCAAAATTTATGCAAATGAGCTCCCCTGATTTGCATAATTTGTGCGTATAATTTTTTGTTAAACCTAGAATAAACATGACTTACTTGTATCAATTGTGTGAATTTTTTGATGGATGAATCCTGAATAGGTACTAACACTTATGTTTTTGGGAATCAAAGCCCATGGAGGCCCTTCAGATATATCTGGCACATGGTTCTACTCCTTTTCCATCTCCCCACCCTATTTTTCAGTTGTTACAGACACACTGTAACAGGCCCCCCTTTATGACCTAGGGACCTTGTCTTAAGCTGGATGTTACTGAGAAAGTTGTCTGCATATCTATTGGTCTCTCTCATAAAAATTAAATTGATATTTAGTGTAACAAATAGCATAAAGTTCTCAAATGGGGGGGGGGGGCTTATGCCTTATTTATATAACCTATGTTGTCTAAAAATTCAGAGGGGTCATCTCTGTCCATTTGAGGAACCCTAATACTAGTAATACTAAACCAAGAGTTCACAACATGAGCATTACCCTCAATTTGAAAGTCTTCATTAATTCCCTGGTTGTTTTCAGCAGTTTCAGTGTCAGAATCACTGCAAGAATATCAAAATCACTAAGCACAGTTTGATCAGAGTCACTATCAGACATGTTCGAATTTCACGCTGTAACTACACACACACACACAAATTCCTGCACACAAATAAATTGAGCTCACCATCAACGAACGCCGCCATTTTGATTGCTATTCTAACAGCTCCTGGTAGATGCCATGGCAGCCTTGAAGCTTTCGACCGATGTCGAGTCCACGGCGACATTGTCCAGGTGGTTCCAAGCAATTATTGTTCCTGGGAAGAATGATTGTTTATACTATATTCTAGCAGTAGATGGACGAGTGCAAGATAGGTATTTCGTTTGCAGGAAGTTGGGCAGTGGCGCAGATTTCTTCGAATGAAACCTAGTGGGGAGGTCGTTTATGTGACAGAGGAGGAGAAGGGGGGCCCAGCACTGTGCCTTGAAGAACCCTTGAGTCTACGGTGACTTTCCCTGATCTGACGCCATCTACTTGCATGGTACGTTGTGTCAGGAATGTTGAGAGCCAGGAGTGAAAGTTGATGGTAATGCCGTAGAGGTGGAGCTTGCGTGGGAAAAGGCTGTGTGGAACAGTGTCTAAGCCCTTGGAGAAGTCGAGAATTGCCATGTCGACATTGTTACCTTTGTCATTGGAGGCGAGGAGGTCATTGGTGGTGATGATTAATTGAGTTTCTGTTGAGAATCCAGAGCGGTAACCGTGGTTTAGGTTGGTCAAAAAAATTGTAGTGTTCATGGTGGTTCATGATGTGGCAACAGATGGTGTGTTCTAGTATTTTGCATGGGACGGAGGTCAAAGATATTGGGCGGTAGTTGTCTGGGTTATGACGGTCACCTTTCGTGTAGGCACTAGTGATATTTGCGTCAAGCTGGGACCAGTCAAATAATTTATAGGCCAATCTAACTTGTATCAAATGTCTCATTAAGATCTACACGTTCATCGATTATTAAAATAAAGATTTCCGGCAGGCATCCATGCAAAAATAGGCCATTTTATTGATCTCTGAGGTAAGAGCTTCATTAAAGAAATTCAGATTAATATTCAATTTTAGTGTTCAAATTTGTTATCTTTACGGTTGGATTGAATTCGTCAGGGATGTTGCCTTTTAAATTTCTACTATCATTATTTTACAGCAGCTAGTATTTCCTGTCGGATAACGAAAAACGTTTATTTTAAAAGTTGTCCCATTAAAATGGGTTTAAAAAACACCCCCCCCCCCCAAAAAAAAAATAGACTTCGGTGTTTAAAAAAAAACAAAAAAAAATATTTTCTCTTTTTTTTTTTTGTTCCTTTTTTCATTTTCCCTGTCTGCCCAGGAAGGCCCTTAGCCGCAGCTTGATCGTTTCCTTGTCCTGTCTTTTTACAAGCTTCCACATCACCTTGCTCTATATATTTCCTGTACACATCTTGAACGCAGTCCTTCATGTTATATCTTAACGGTCATAAGGATTTCTTTTTTAACTATCAAAACTAACTGATTTCGTATCAAATAATGATTACTTACAAAAATTTTAAAAAAAAGTCTAACAAATGATTTTTTTCTTTCTTTCTTTTTTTTTTTTTTTTTTTTTTTTTTGTTGTAATCTCTATATAATAGTGTGACACGGATGCCATGTTTTTTAAACCTATTTGAAAAAAAAATAATAATAATAATTAGGATTTTTGTGTACCTGCTTTACATGGCAAAACGAATACGTGGCTCCCCTTCTTTTATCAATGCAGAATGAATCATTACAAATTTTTGTATATAATCATTTATTTATTACATGAATTAATATGTCACAGCTTTTGAGATGTGTGAGCGACATTTTAAAAAATTATTTCTGTTTAATTAAGTTGTCAATTAAAGCTTCTGTAGTTATGTTTCAGTGTCTTGCATTTATAATGTGTCATATATTTATATATATATATATATGCGTGTGTGTGTGTGTGTGTGTTTAAATAAAAATCAGTTTTTTTAAATAATTTTTTTTACGGTTAAAGAATTATTTTGTAATAAATTGTTAGTTTGAAAATTTTTGAATATAAGATTTAGTCACAAATTAACTTATTATTTTTTTAAGCTATTTTTTTTTCTCTCCATAATTTACACTGCCTTATTTTGAATAGGGCACGTTATCATAGTAGACTTCGTTCTGTGCATTACGCCAATGTGCACTTTTTACGGTTGAGTATATTTTTGTAAAAAGAAAATTATCCTGATATTAATTTAGTAAATCTAGAAATAAAGAAAATTGTTAAAAATAATGCAACAGTTTCTTTGGTTAATTGACAGCTTAACTTGTATCAACATATCTTTTTTATATTGCACTTTCTATTTTTCTTCCATGGCGCCCGCCTGCAATGCTTTTTCGAATTTTGGAAGATCGTTGGTAGCGCCCTAGGCACATGGTGCCCTAAGCACACGCAGTGTACGTCAGGTTTGAATACCGTTACCTGACGCTGGACTCGAGGCTCTCACTTCACTATAATAAACTAAGGGAATTTAAATATTTACTTGGCGTCCCAGGCGCTCCTGTGGCCACGGCGCCCTGGACGAGGGCACAGGTCGCACACCCTAAAGGGCGGCCCTGCCTCCTACAATGTTTGATAAGGCACAAGTTGACTTGTATGACTTTACCTTCGAGTTTACCTCCCCCATTAAATGACCAAATTCCCCTCCCCTTTAAATGATCGACCTCCCCATCCCCTTAACTGACCTCCCCCCCCCCCTTTTTAAAAAAGAAAAGTAAGTCGCCTCTAACCAATCTGTGATTAAAAAACGGGCAGCAGTTGAATGCCATGTAGAAACAGGGGACATAATTTATACCTCCCCCATTAAATGACCAAATTCCCCTCCCCTTTAAATGATCGACCTCCCCATCCCCTTAACTGACCTCCCCCCACCCCTTTTTAAAAAAGAAAAGTAAGTCGCATCTAACCAATCTGTGATTAAAAAACGGGCAGCAGTTGAATGCCATGTAGATACAGGGGACATAATTTGTGTGTCATGTAGATACAGGGGACATAATTTGTGTGTCATGTAGATACAGGGGACATCATTTGTGTGTCATGTAGATACGAGGGACATAATTTGTGTCATGTTGGGCGCATAAATTGTTCAGACTTTTAAATACTATGTGGGTCACCCAATACCAGACTTTAGATTGAGGACACTTTAAACGTTATTGTTTGCATACGCCACCATTCGCCAACAAAGATTTGTTTATGCGGCGTCCATTAATAACGTCAACAAAATAAGAGGGAGGGAGGGGGGAAAGGGGTTTGGAAATATTTGAAAGTCGTTGAAATGGGGGGGGGGTGCGGGGGGTAGATTAGATGACGTCAACAATCATTTTTTTTCTTTTTTAAAATTTTTATCTTAAAAAAATGACTGGTTATATTACAATATTTTGTAAAAATTCATAAGTTTAAATGAGTGCAAATAGTTATATTATTTTTAGGCTTTTAACAATGTAAGATTTTGTGTGTCTGGGAACTGCAGATGGCTTGTCAGAATGTTAGCACACTTTGTTAATGCAAAAGAATTCAAAAATTAGTCTCTCTTCCTCTGTAGATTCTGTTTGTTGCAAATGACTAAGTGCGAAAACGATGCAGGTATGGAACGAAGAAAAGTGTCATGTGCAAGCTAGATAAATTATATGGATAGAGTAGGAATACGATATTTTGAGAATTAGGGGATAGTAAAGTGAGTAACAATAGTAACATCGCTCCTTGAACGCATTTGAACAATCTGTAACGTCTATTTAGCATCACATGTCATGTTGCAAAAGCATCTTCAACAGCACCGACAATGCCCTCTTAAATTACCAACTGCTCGTCAACAACAAAGGATTCGACCAATGCTAGTAGCTGCCAGGAGACAGAGAGAGCTTATGGTCATCATTGCTCACACC